CTCAAGTGGTAGAGCGCTAGCCTTGAGCTGAAGAGCTGAGGGACAGCGCCCAGGCCCAGAGTTCAGGCCCCATGACCGGACCCACAAAAAAAAAAAAAAGAAGAAAAAGAAAAAAGAACAAGCAGTTTCTAAAAACAAAATCATTGGTATTAATCTGATCTATCAGACTTGTTCATATTCATATGCTAATATTATTTTCATGTGAATAAAATACAGTTATAAAAATACTTATACCACACTTACATTTTAATTTGTTACATCATATTCACCTAAGTCATCTTAGAACAGATAAGGAAAAACTGCATTCCTCATCACAGTTTAAGTACTATCAATTCTTATTCCAAATAATTATTTATTTCAATGAACTATTCAGGGACAATGGATTTAAAGACACTAAAAGTATCACTTGGAAAAAAAAATGTGCTTTTATTAAACATCTCCCACCACACAGAAATCTCAAACTATTCAGAAAGGAATACATTGATTTTAAGCCAAGGGACAATGGTCTTTAAAAAAAGAAAAAGGTAGTACATTCTGCTACTATGTACCTTTGCAAAAATCTTTAATCTTTTGAAAGCTAATTTCATTTCTTCTCTTTTAAGTTTGCTACTCCCTCCAAATAGCTGTTTAAAAAAGAATAGCTACTACTTAAAATTAAAAGTTCTTTTTAAAAAGCATTGCCTAGCAAAATTTATTATTTATTCTTATTTGGATTAAACTAACTTAAACTAAAAAGTTTTAGTTGTTAAGTTGAAAACCATACTTCCAAACATCATGAAGACCTATATATGTAAACATACTACTATATTACTAGATATGAGGTTGGCAATCTAGAGCCCATAGGACATATCCAGCAAGCTGCTTATCTATGCAAATAAAGATTTCTGGAATACAGTCATGCCAATTATAAAAGCTATGACTGCTACAATATAAGAGTTGAGTGGCTGTGGCAGAAACCATATGATCAACTAAGTCAAAAGTATTTAATAATGGCTATTCACAGCAAAATGTCCTGAACTATACTGTAAATCCATCAAGTTAATTAAGTTTACTGTGCTATAAATTATTAAGTTCATTGATAACAGCATGTTCAAGGGGATTGTAGAAAGAAAAAGAGATAATTAAATACATGAATCAAATTTAGTACTCCATAATGCTATTCCAACAACCTAAAAATCTAAGCTTCAACTACCAACAGACCTGAAATATGAAAAATTTGATTACATAAGACATAAAAACAATATATAGAAGTTGCCATTGATTTACGTAGAACAAAGTACATCTTATTGCCTCTTAAAGTTAAAGCCAATTACTATTTCTTATAAACAGCATCTAGGGACTGGGAATGCGACCTAATGGGAGAATGCTTGCCTAGCATGCATAAAGCCCTGTATTCAGTTCCTCAGTATCACATAAACAAAAAATAAAAGAAACAAAAAGAGAAAAAATTATTTTTAAAAAGTAAGTAAATGAATAGCATCTATATCTGCTTTATACAAATTGTGTTTTTACCTGCTAATGGCTTGTTCCTCATCAGTTATTCCAGTCTCCCTGAATGCCCTGTTTGATTCTGCCAAACTTAAGGCAATTGCTCTCTGAAGATCATCTTTATCATCTCCAGTAAGATCAATCACATCTGCAAAGCAAAACTATCTTTGTCAGAATTCAGTCAAACAAAACGAAAAATAATGCTTATCGTTGAGATTTTATACCCAATAAACCCTTAACAAACAAAGTCAGCACCATTTTTAATGCCCAACTTCTTTTGTTTTTTTTGCCAGTCCTGAGCTCAGGACCTGGGCACTGTCCCTGAGCTTCTTTTGCTCAAAGCTAACACTCTACCACTTGAGCCACAGCAGTACTCTGCCTTTTTCTGTGTTTGTGGTACTGAGAAATCAAACCCAGGGTTTCATGTATGCTAGGAAAGCGCTCTATCACTAAGTCACATTCCCAGCCCCCAAATTTCTTTATAGGATCGAGCTTATATAAAAGAATGCACACTTTTAATGAATTATTTCTGGCAACCTAAGATTTTCTCCTAGAAAATATATGAAAAGAGTAAGAGCATAAGTGATTTTCACTGAATAATCCCTATATTTACAATGAAGTCTCTAAAAAATGTTAAGAAGTAGTAAGAATGCTAAGAATGATTTCTTTGCTAATAAAAACTGAAACAAATAGAATCAAACATGTTTTGCATTTATACTTTCTGAATTTAACCGGATCACAAATTCTCTCCATTCTACCATGTAGACATTGTTTATAAAATTATAATAAACAACTGTGTCTTCAAAAGTTTACATTTCATAAATATACTGACAGTAGATGCATGGTGTTTTCATGTCTGGAAGAATAATATGACAAACTGTCAAAAAATGTTTAGCTCTAATTAAATAAATCATGAAAGGAGAAACTACAGGGCTTTGACTTTCTTTTCTGCATACTTTGTACCATATGTATTATTTGGTAATCATGCATTTCTTTTAAACAAGATTCTCATTTCACGAAAACAACAAACATACAAATAAGTGATCTACTAACAAAGAAAGCCCTTAGTACCGTAAGAATTACTTCTTTTTCTAAAAACTACTTTCAGTACAAGCCACTTTCAGTATAAGCATGGCATTGTTTAATTTTTCAATGTGTACTGGTTTTCATTTTAACACAGAACTGGCAATGAAAAATACTCCTATTATGACTGAAATGACAGGAATCAGTAAGATGAAAAAGAGAAGGAAGTACTGCTGATATCTTGATGTAGCTGGGATTATTTTTATTTGTATTTTTTTATTTCGCTTATTGGTATTTCAATTTTACTTTTTACTCATAAAGAATTTTATGAGAAACAAAAAAAAGTAAATGGTAGGGGTTATCTTCATTTTACCGTATAATTACAAAATTATAAAAATACATACTAAAAGCCATGCCAGTGGTTCACACCTCTAATCCTAGCTAGTCAGGCAGCTAGGTTCTGAGGATAGTGGTTCTGGAATCTATGAGACTCTTTACTCCAATAAACTACAAAAGAAAAGAAAAATCTGCGTGCTGGTGGCTCATGCCTGTAATCCTAACTACAAAGGAGGCTGAGATCTGAGGATCATGGTTCAAAGCCAGCCGGCGCCAGAAAGTCAGTGAGACTCTTATCTCCAACAAACCACCAGAAAAACAAAAGTGGCTCTGTGGCTCAACTGGTACAGTACTCTCCTTGAGCTGAAGAACTCAGAGACAGTGCCCAGGCCCAGAGTTCAAGCCCCATGACCAACAAAAGAAAAGAAAAGAAGAAAAAAGGCTAGAAGTAGAGCTATGGCCTTGTGTAAAAGAAGTTGAAGAACAGCACCCAGGACCTCTGAGTTCAAACCTTAAGACCTCTACAAAAAGAAAAATAAGTAGAAAAATATAATCTAAAACGTGAGAAAAAAATACAAACTCTAATTCTATTGTTGCCTGCACTTTTTTTCTAAGCATGGTAGCTCACAAGAATATTTAAAGCTGGACAACAGTGACTCACACTTACAATCCTAGCTACTTGGAAACCTGAGGTCCAAAAGGTCGCAGTTTAAAGCCCTCAGAGGCAGAAAACTTCACTAGACTCCATCTTCAATTAGCAAAACCCAGACTACAAGCATGTCTCAAGTGACAGAGTCCCAACCCAGCATGTGTGAGGCCAGGAATTCAAACCTTAGTACCAGACATCTCCCTCCCCCCAAAAAATATTTAGAATAGCTGTCCATAAGAAATATTGAGTCTTTTGAATGCCCTTGAACATTAGGCCAAGTCCAAAAGACTCAATCAACAAATATGCAGAACAGCTACACCACACACGAACTGAAATGATAGAATTCCTTACATATGCCAACAGGGCAAACGTTTCATAAATTTGGCTACAAGATCTATATAGCACCAGACTATAGCTGAAGATGAGTTAGGCCACCCAGCTCAGAATAAATAATGAACCTGAACTATAGATAAACAAAAATGAATCATAAACAGTGAGGGGGATCATGGTATTTAGAACTTGGGTAAGTTAATCAAGAGAAGTCATTCTCTCATCTTTCTCATATGCATTTGTCAACTGTAGAAACTGCAAAGATTAGAAAACAAAAACACGATCCATCTTCTGAATTTACTTGCAGCTCAATAAGAAATGTACTCATTACCTTATGTACAGATACAGCATCTTTACAATAAAATAATTTTTTTAAGTTAGTTTACTGTCACCTAGACATACTAACAAGATCAGAAAGGCAAAAATAGGACGAAGCCATTATCCTGCTGCTTCTGGCTGTTTTCTCCCAGCAGAGTTTAATAAATATAAATTGTTCTACAGTTGCCTTCCGGCATCTAATTTCTACTTCAAGGATGTCAGGTGATAAAGGAGAAATGGCAATATGACTTGGTATTCCAATGTCCAGGAAGCATTCAGTTGCAGTTACCTGATCTTGACATTCCATTGAGTAGGCCATAGCTACAGAAAGAAGTACGCTCTTGAACAGATTAGTCCTTGAGGGCTTGGGGCAGAGGGAAAAGCTATCCTGAAATGTCAGTCATACAGTGATATGTAACTCATTTCAGAAAGCAGAGTTGGGGTTCTCTATATCCAGTTCTTCCAGGGGTGTTTGGAGACTCAAATCCTCTATATTAAATGCCTTGAGAATATCTTAAAATATGTATATGTTTTATGACTGATAAAATGCCTAGAGTAGAGGCTCATTGAGAAAGAGCAAAAATCTATACATACCATATAATTTAAGCAAGACAAAAAGTAAAACACAAATCAAGATTTTTTGTTTGCTTTTTTAAAAACAAAACAAAAGGTCTTACTACGTAGCCCAGGCTGGACTTGTACTCATGAACCCCCTCCCTCGACATAAGACAACTGGAGTTCTGACAAATGAAGCACAATGTCTTACAAATAAAAAATGCTACACAGGCTTCAAATTTAACTCTTAAATTCAGTAGTCTTCAAAGTTTACCAAAACATTTTATGGAAGGGGTAAGGAGATCCTCAGGCCAAAAAAAAAAATCATAATAATACTAAATGTTTTTTGTCTTTTTCTACTGTGATTATATTTGTCACAGCGAATGATAATAATAAAAAAAACTAGTATGCCTTGGCACAAATCAAGAGAGCACCAAGATGTGTAGAACGATTTCTTTTTAAATATTTCTACAAGTTTTTCTGAAGAATTATAATGAAGGTAGAAAACGGTAACTGTCTAAAAAATTCACAAAAATGCAATAGCAAATTTTACAAAATCCCATGTGTAACTGTGACAAAATAGACTACATAAAGTATCTCTGGCTATATATGTAAAGTATGTTCTTGCTATAGAAAAATAGTGGTGCAATGTTTGAGTTATAAAGCTAAAGTACAATTTAAACAAACAAACTTGTAACCAGTTACAAACTATGACTATTCAGGAACAACACACATACTTGCCACTAAGGAATACTTATTGAAAATTATTGGAAAACATGGAATTTTCAAGCAAAATCAGAACTTTGACAAACTTTGTTCACACTACGATCTTGATTATCTTCTAAATATCATAAAGCTTTCCAGTGAAAGAAGTGATGAACAAATTTCATTTTAATGCAGTAGACATTTTACACATTCTAAAGGAAATCTTTCCCAAATGCCTATGTAAAATTCCTAAAAAAGGTTTTTCACAAGCACAAGTCACAATTGAAAATTTCCTCTGATAGAAACTTTTGAAGCCAGGCACTGATGGCTAACACCTGAAATCCTAGTTACTCAGGAGTCTGAGCTCTAAAGATTAAGGTTAGAAGTCAGCCTGTGAGACTCATATCTCCAATTATGCACCACAAAAGCCAGAAGCAGATCTGTGGTTCAAGGGGTAGAGTACTAACCTTGAGCAAAGGAGGTCAGGGACAGTTCCGAGTTCATACTCCAGGACTGGCATACATACACACACACACACACACACTCTCTCTCTCTCTCTGTCTCTCTCTCTCTCACACACACACAGTTTTAGGATATAAAGTTTAATTTGGGGGTGGAGGATTGGGTGGAGGGGCAGGAAGAGGATGGGAAGAGATGGGAAGGGGAAACAAAGGAGGAGGCTACAATGCTTGATAAGAAATGTACTCAACTCTGTACATTATTTTCACAATAAAAAAATAAAAGTTTATTTTTAAGAAAGAATAAAAAGTTTATAAAACTTAAAAGACTAGTAGATTATAGGTGAATAAATATTTCTTCCCTTCTTTTCTGAGGGCAAAATTAGATAACCTGGTCTCAGGATTTCTGTATGGCAATACAACCACCATAACAAGATAGGGTGGTAGCTGAGGCTCTCTTTAGACAGAACGATCACCTCCCCATTCTGACATATCCCCTGTCCCCTGTCTAGCCACACACATTCACATTACTTGCTTTGTTCATGCATCACTGTACTTTTCACTGGCATGAAGGAATAAAGCTGCCTGTAGTTAGAATTCATACTTTCTGGCTCCAGCTAACCCATACTGCCCCAGCTTTCTCCAATGTTTAGGGGGTTAAATATTCAGGCACATGTTGGTAATCTGAGCCTGCAACCCCTGATACAGGGGAACAGAAGTTATTAATAGCAGAAAACACTGATGATTGAGATCAGAAACTATCACCCATTAACT